CGTATCCCAAAGTACACGTGAGCGAATGTGTTGCATGAACCGGCCAGGCAGGTGCATCTGATGAGCAGTTTGACAACACACTCCCTGTCTACACTGTCCCAGCTAAATACGACATGAACATCTAATGCTTCCGTGTGTGCCAGTGAGAGAGGCGTGTGTTCCCATTAAGCATGAAATTAGCAGTGCAACTGTGCTCGTTAAGTATCCCAGCGCTCCTATGACTCCCCATTAACACTGGGTAAAGCACAGGGGACGGATAAGCCAGCACATCGCTCGCCTAGAGTTAGCAGGGTGGATGGAGTCCAACTGATTATGGTGTCAAGAGGTAAAGTCACAGAATTAGAAACATCTTAAAGGGGTCATATGATGCGATTTCGGGGTAGGGGCGTGTTTGTTTTGGTGATTTCAAATATCAACATTGGCTACCAGAAATCGCTGAATGAATCATCAACGAGTGTCTGCGGTCTTTTCGCGTGATGGAAAAGCCTGATGCTTTGCATAAAATAAACAATTTTATTCATAAACATACAGAATATAATACTTTGGATGTTAAAACATGTCCTCAGAGCTGTTTATTGTTTGTTTATTGTCAGGTTATTGAGTCACAGCATGTTTAGGCTAGAGTGAAATGCCGGGCGGCGGTCTGTTAGTAGTTCCCCGGCGAACATGACTCCATCTCGGGCACGAGAACCAGTGCCGTTACGGTGGAAACAGAATAACAGAGACTGGTCGATTACACGTGAATTACTTCTGTTTAATGTTGAATTTTTCTTCTAATGTTTGTTAAACGAGTTTAAATATAGGCAATATGTATAGCCTATTAAAAACGATATAAACAATGCTGTAAATGATAAATAAAGGAAGCTATCATGCAAACCAGTGGTTGTGTGGAGTATTTTAGAAAGGTTTAGAGGACTTAAGTTAATCTGTAAACATTATTTAATGTATGAAGGTTCTGTCCTATATTTACCCAGCCCTTGGGTTAATAACAACCCAAATTGGGTTGTTTTTAACCCAGTGTTTTTTAGAGTGTAATTATGTTGCATATCTAAATTAACAATTAAATAATTAAAAATCATAAACATAATACAAGAACACGACCCTTAAAGGCACAATATGTAAGATTTTTTTATTAAAATATCCAAAAACCACTAGAACAGTATTATATATTTTGCTGACTTGTGTTCTTACACTATCCCAAATGTTTTGAAGAATGCTTTCGAGCCGTGTGTCACGCTCGTTCAGCGGCCTCGTTTCGCTTCGACGGCTTTCAGCCCTACTCTGCTTTATTCTACTACGTTAATAAATCATTAGCTCATCCATGAACATGATTTCTGCCCGAGCCCCGTCGGATTGCATCGGCTGGATGGATGAAGACCACAACTTCCATGATTCCACACTCAGTCACGGAGTCATCAAACTAGGCCTTTGCCTCTTTGTTTATTTTGAATACGCGCCCTCTAGCGGCGAAAAATACATATTGTGCCTTTAAGTATAGCTTGGACAGACAGACTAAAACTTTTTAGTTAAAAAAAAATTATATTATTATAATAATATAATTATATATTATTATTAATAGAATTATAATAATTTACAATAATAAATTAAATTTTTTCAGTTTTTAATTTAACCTTAGTTTCCAATTTAGTAATTTTGTTATGTGCTTTTGTAATTTTTATTAGTTTTTAGTTTTTTATAATTAGCATTAAATTTATTTTTATTTCAGTTTTAATAATTTTTGTACTTCAACTTAAATTTATTTAATTAGGTTTCTGAAGTTTTTTCATCTCATCTATTTTTATTTTATTTCAGCTTTATTTCAATAAAAAAATTTGTAATAGTTTTAGTTCATAAAAACACTAGACAGCAGACCTGTGATAAGCTTACATTCAATGATATGAAATACAACAAACAATATATTTGACTTCTAAAGCCACTTTTGTCTAATCAGTGATTTCATCCTCCAAAATAATGTAATCTTTATGAATTCTTATGAATTTCTTCATTTTGATATATATACACGATTAATTCTGAATATTCTAAACAATTAATTCTTTTTTTTTTTTAATGATTGGCAATCCTTGTCTCAAGCATTACGATATATCTGATATTCTGATTTTGTCTTTTATACACTGCAGTGTGAGTTGGATGAATAGTGCCCTTCTTGAGAAATATAATGGAACCTGTTCCATTAAAACAAAGGCTGTTCAGGATGGGGGTCATTGATTTACCACCAGGTTTCAGCAGCAATGGCTGCCCCTTTAAACACCCTGATTACATCGGGTGTACTGAGTTCTCAAAACTGCTTAAAATAGGTCTCCTTGAGACAGTCATGATTATGCATTCAGCTGCAAAAATCTTGAGAATGTTGTGTTAAAGTTTATGTAATATTTGTTTGCACGGTATATTTAACACTGCATCTGCAGTTATTTTCCCCTTCTGTTTTTCCTTTTCTCCAAGATGACAAAATAAATGTACTCGACTCCCTGTTTTTCACTGTGTGGCATTTACAAAAAGTCCCTCTGACATTTCCTTCTCTTTCTGCACTTTTCTCCCTCCGTCTCATCTTTTTTTATTACCTTCTTTCTTATTGGCCAGTGTCTTTTAAAAAAACAAATCTGCATAGCCATTATTTTCCCTCTAATTTTCTCTCCCTTTTTTCTGCCTCTTTCAAACACAGTCATCTTAATGAAGCACATTGCAGGTAGTTACACAGCACTATGCGTCCCATCACATCTGTTTCCAGCAGTTCAGACTTCCACTGACTTAACAGTAGGCACAAGTCTGTTACACCTGCTACACAACTCTGACCTTGGCGGAAGAGAAAGAGGAACATGTGGATGTATGTGTATGAATATTCATGTGAGAACGGAAAACGTTGAGGGGAAAAAGTATAGACAGTGTGGCTCTGTTCCAAACCCTAGTGAGTCTACTGTCTACACAGGCAACTACTTTTAAAGCATCCTAATTAAAAAAGCACTGAAATGCTCTAAGCACACAACTATGGCAGGACACAACAAGTAACAGTCTTTGTGTGAAGGGCAGTACAGTGTCTTCTATGGCTGGTTCTCTAGTGACCATCATGGTTAAAGACAATACAGGTCATATCTATGTGAATGGAGAAAGACTTCAATCTTCAGAACTGGAAATTTCAATGACATACTACATTTCAGTGACATTACATATCAGCAATAAAATCCAACCACAACAGGATCATCAATTTTACTGCATTTTCTCAAATCATGCTAAATAATGGTATTTTTCAGACTGGTTTAATTTATGCACACACATGTTCTATAGAGACTTCATATACTGTATATACTACTGTACCATTCAAAGATTTTGTCACAGTATCTTTCAGTTTGAACTTTGTTTTCATTTGCACCTTTTTCTCCATGCCTTGTTTGTTGTCATGGTCACTCATTTGGTTCGTCATTCAGTTCAGGTGTATGTTATTTAATTATCCTTGTTTGCATGTGTATTTAAGTTACCATGGTTCAGTTCATTGATGTCTGGTCTCGTCAATGTTATGCGTGTTATAATCCTTCTCTCTGTTTGGATTTACCTTCTGTGGATTTATTAAAGACTTCATATCTTCATCATGTTTGTGTTTGTTCTTCAACACAGTAGCGTGACAGGTTTAGGGTCTGTAAGACTTTTTTTTATTTTTTTGAAATACGTTTCTTATGCTTACCAAGGCTGCATTTATATAATTAGATACAGTAAAAGCAGTAATGTTGTGAAATAATATTTATTATTTCAAAATAAATTATTACAAATTAACATTTATTATTTCAAATAACTGTTTTATTTTGTGATATATTTTAATACTTTATGTAATTCATACCGGTGATGGCAAAGCTGCATTTTCAGCAGCCATTATTATTGTTTTATCTTTTCGGAAACAATGATAAAAAAAATTTTTTCGGGATTAGAATAGAAATAGAATAGAAAGTTCAAAAGAACAGCATTAATTTGATAGAATTTGTAATTTACAGGCTTTTTACTGTCACTTTTGATCAAAATGCATTCTTGCTAAATAAAAGTATTCATTTCTGTCAACAACAAAAAAAGACTGACCCCAAACCAATATTTTGTTAATAAATAAATATAAATTATATTATTATAAATTAAAATATATATTAATAAATATTAACACTTTACAATAAGGATTCATGAATTAACGGATGTTAACAAATTAGATAACAAGAACTAACAAGGAGCAATATATATATGTTATTCATCTTTGTTAATGTCAGTTGTTAAAAAATAAAATTGTTCAGTGACTGTTCATGTTATTTGCATTATGCAATAATGCATATTATGCATATGCATTTGTAGGAGTTTCCCTTTCATACGCAAAATTTATGTGAGGACAGTATTTGAATGAATCATGTAACATGAGTTACTAAGGTTTGTGCTAGTCATTTTACTGGTATTTGTGCCATTATTTACCGCCCAAAAAAAGCATGTCTTAACCCATTCTTTGCCTGTGTTGTTAGTAGATTACCCACACCTGATTATCTGCTACGCTAATTTGCACTGCTCTTGGTAGACTGCGTTGGTCATTATGGAAATGCATTGGCTGCGTCTGTATTCTTGTAAGTTTTTTCTTGAACTTCCCACTCTCTGCTTTAATGGTATATTGTTCTCATGCTAATTTGCCCTGTTTAGTAGATCTGGCTGCTTATGCTAACAGATACAATTGATTTTAAATATTAGTAAAAGTTGAAATTTGCAATAAGATTAATAAAAGCTGTAGAGCTATTGTTCATAGTTAATGTTAACTAATGTAGTTAACTAATGGAACCTTATTGTAAAGTGTAAAGTAAATTTACTACAAATTATGCTCTCCTTAAAGAAACTTTTGCCAGATTCTAAAACACAACACATACAGAATCTGGCCAAAGTTTCTTATAGGAGGGCATAATTTGTCCTCATCTTAACATTTGCAATTCAAAAGTCTTAAAATGTCTAGGTAGCAGTTGCATTTGTCATACCTTGGCTGCCATGATCATGGAAGAGCCTCCACGGATGCCCAGGATGGGGATGTGCGTCTGAGCTGAGATGAAGTCCAATATCTGGGCGATGGCCTCCTGATCGGTATCGTCCCCAAACACCACACCCTGGAGCCAGTTCCGTGACATCAGAGCACAGATGCGGTTTATGATACTCTTGGGGTCGGTTTCGTTCATCGTGACTAATTCGACTTTCGGAGGGAGAGGCACGTGGAGGAAGTCCTCTTTCTCCAGACCTTCAGAGAGGGACCCCTCGCTGGAGTTTCCCACAAGGATCACTGCGATGCTAAGGCCTTGAGCAAACTTTGGTGGCAAAGGAGGACCCACTGGATTGACTCCTGGTGGAGGATAATGAGGAGGACTGATTATCGCTTGGCTGCGGTCGCCGCCGCTCATGCCTCCGATGGGCGTCCCGATCCCACCTCCACGGCGAGACTCGCAGGTGGGGAAGAAGAAGAGAGAGAGGAGAAGGAGCGAGAGGGAGAGGGGCGGTTTGGAGGAAGAAGCCAGGGAGACGAAAGACAGGACGCGACAGTCGGAGAAAGGAGAAGAGGAGAGGTGGAGGCTGACAAGCATGGCGGAGGAGTGAAGATACAGTCCCTGCAGACAAAGAAAGAGAGGAGAGAGAGAGAACTTCAGTTTGGCAGCTGAATTCACAATATCTACATGATTTGAACTTGAATCTGACTGGTGAAAGTTGAGTTGCTGTATGCAAGTCAAACCGACGAGAGACCTGTGGTTTTACAAAAAGAGCATGTGTCCTCATTTCAAGGGTTTGTCCTCTTCATTATTGACGTATGTTGGACAGAAATCACAGAAATATAGGCAGTCTTGGGAAATGAGGTCGTTTGCAGCTGTCACACACACACACACACACACACATTTTTCTAACTAAGGACAGACAAAACACTTCTAATATTTATATATAAAGCTAATTAAAATTAGTAGGATGAACCCCAAAACAAATAGTACATTTTTTTTGCATTTTTAGATTGATAAAAATATAGTTTGTAATTTGTACCCTTAAATAACATCCCTAGAGATCCCAAACAGATGTTTTGTCTAATGACAGTTTGGTCCTCAAACTATTGCACACTTTTTTAATGCTGGAGACTTGTCATTGACAATGCATTCTGGGTTTTCTTTATCCACTAAAAAATAAACGTGTTGTGTTTTATCTGTCCAACGTTTCTTATAGCAGAGTATAATTTGTTTTCATCTTAACCTTTGTACCTAAAATGTCCTAAAATACCTAGGTTGCAGTTGCATCTGTCATACCTTGGCCATGATCATGGATGAAATCCCAAGACATACCAAATGGAGATTTTGTCAAATTTAGCTAACTTCTGATGACAATTTGGTCCTCAAACTGTTGCACACTTCTTTTTTTCAATGCTGAGGAATGCATCACAATGCATTCTGGGTTTTCTTTCTCTTGGGGACTTGTCGTTGACATCAGTTTTTTATATTGAGCTAATGCTATTTTCTGACCCTTTTGGGGATATTTGGTTCCTACGGTGTAGACAAAGTCTGGCCCACAAATGTATGCACTTCAAAAATAAGCTCAAAGAGTTCAAAAGACCTTGATTGTGAAACACAATGAGAGAGAGAGTAACTATGTATATACAGAGAGAGAATGAGAGAGTAGTGTGCATACACTGAATACCAAATGCAATTAGATGAGTAAGATACAAGTTGATTTATCAGCAAACAACATATTCACTCACACACACACAAATACACACACAGTAGTGACTGACATTTGCCAATTATCTTTCTGTGAAGACTTTGAGAAACACTTGTTATTTAGAGCCATTTTCATTAGCAGAGGTGTGGAACAAGTAAGTTATTAGCTAATATGTTTGTATCTGTTTGTTGATGGCATTTCTGAAACACGTTTAAAAAAAAACACAAAATCTGTGCAGTTTCATGTAGATCTATTTTCCATTGAAACAGGAAGTATGCATGAACATACACTACCATTCAAAAATTTGGGTTCAGTCAATGTACTTTTTACACAGCAAGGAAGCATTAAATTTATCAAAAGTGACAGCAGAAACATATTATTACAGTATATATACTGTACAGTATACCAGTAGCAGCTTATTTTTAGAGGGTAAAAAAAACTGAACGACATGCCAGCTAACAGCCACAAAACTCATTTCAAGGGGTCTTTAAAGAACAGGCACAGAAAAAAATAATTTAAAAAAATTGAGGAGGACAAAAAAATTAAAGGACAGCATAAGTGAGGCATTGCTCAGAAAGAAAGCAAACACGCTTGAATAAGGAAGACTGCTTTTACAAGGCTAATTATTGGAGGTTTGTCAGTGCTAATTGCAGGTACACATGCTAATTGTGAATTAGCTCTCTTCTGCTGCAGAAGAGAGAAGAGACGGAGGAGGACAAAGTGTGGGAGGAAGAAAGAGAGGGGAAGAGAGAGAGAAATCGGTTGAGGGGGAATGGAAAAGTATAGAGATGAACTGCAAAACGAAATTGAAAAAAAAATTAGAAAATTAGGCAACTAAACAAATGAAGCAAAGACAGAAAGAGAGCAGTGACAAAAAAAAGAGAAAGCGTTCTAATCATCAGCTCATTAAAAGTAGGTAAGCAAAGGGAAGCACACAGATCGGAAGGATAAGCACTAGATAGGGAGATAGAAGACTAGGAGGACAGCAGCTGGGAGAACAAGAGAGGGAGGAGACAGTAAGATGCTCTATTTGGCTCTGCCTCTCATTTTAACAGCACTTGGTTTCCATAGCAACTATTCAAATGAACCTTCCTCCACACACACACACACACACAAAAACAGAGACTGCTATATACAGACACATTTATATAGATTTTGTGGTCTTAAAGTCCATAGTAACACCTATTCACAGTCAACTGAAAAAGGCATTTTATACAAATTGTGAACATACATGATACCACCATCTCTTGCAAAAAAATAAATAAATACATACATAAAATAAAACACACACACCTCCCACACATTTTCTCCTAAGAAGCTAAAGGCTCAATGTCAGCTCCACAAATTTTTTTTTTCAAACTGAATGTTACAGAATCGTCTGAAATGCTCGCACTGAATTACAGCTGATCCACATGTAAAAAACACACCAACTATATGTAGCAGACTTCTGAAATTAAACAGCAAAGTTCCCTCTTTGGGTTTCGGTGGTTTTAGTCCAGAAAACCCTCTACATTGCCAGTAAATCACTCGCATATGCGACAAAATTTTACTCTGGGCAACTAAATGATGTCTATCGTTAGCCATTGGCTAATAAATTCTAAGATTTTACTCGCCAGTATGCCTGTGAGAGGCTAATTACAAGTTTAGCACAGATATATTTTCACTCGCCGAACACTCTGACTGAGCGCTTCAGAGTTTCACTCTCCGTCAACAAATCTGTACTATTTCAGTTCACCTCAGTGGATGCGCAGCATACTTGTATTTGATGCACCGTAAACTCTAGTCTAGTGTGAAGGCACACGACTCGCCGTCGCTTTACTGATAGCGCTGTGTTTCTCACACATGCAAAGAGAGAGAGCGAGAGTCTTACATACCACGCTGAATCGACGCGCCACATGTAAACCATATTCTTTGTTTTATTTTCCTGTCAAAATAACGGGGTTCATTTAGAATTATTCAGCTTTTAAGAACAAGCAGAAGCAGTAGTGGGTGGAACTAATGCGCGAACGGCAATCTCATTGGCTGGCGCTCATCTATTACCGTCCGTTTTAATTTCAGCAAATCAGTTCGAGGGAACGCCGACAACTTGATTAATATTCATGAACCCAGCGGCTCATCAATCCAAGTGCGTTGTATATTGTTAGTATAGTAGTAGAACTAGTAGTAGTATTATCTTTTTATAATAATTACTATTATCTATTTTTTAAAAGTAACCCTGAATGGCCAACAATATCTTAAGCATCACCACCAGTCCTAAGTTCAGTTAAAATGACAAATAAGCATTCATACATGGTTACCAAGTTTGAGTTCTAATCACTGAAGTTCTATTGTAATTAATAATAATTAAATAGTGCTTAATTATCATAATATCGTAATATAATGCTTGATTAACTGATTAAGAAGCTAAGATTTAAGAAGCTGTGCCATTTTACAAAGATAAACAGTTTTGGTGAAATTATATATATGTGTGTGTGTGTGTGTGTGTGATTTGTGAAAAAAGCAGAGGGGGGGATGATTTTGAAAACTTTTTTTTTTTGAGAGCAAGGCTTTAAAGTATAATGTTAGTGTAATCTGTTAACAAAGCACATCATAAACCCGTCTTTTTAAACAAGTACCAGATAATGTGTGTCATGTCACGAAATGTTTTTAATACGATTGAAACTGTAGGCTATTTAACGTGATCACAATTTAATAAAAACATTAGGCCGATTAATTAATTTCAACGGTTATTCAAACAACGAATAAATTATATAGGAAAGTGAGCAAAGAACATAAATTGTACAGTATCAACGGCGCTTTTTGAAACTCCGAATCAGTTAGAACAGGGCTGTCCAAACTCGGTCCTGCAGGGTCGGTGTCCAGCAGAGTTTAGCTCCAACCCTAATAAAACACACCTGAACCAGCTAATCAAGCTCTTACAAGAC